TGAGTAGAGAAGGTAAATGATTCGGGTTGTCTGTAAAGCAAGTAGGAAAGTTGACTATTTGAGTTAGGGATTGAGAAAGACAAAAGTTGTAGGCTTTAATGCCTGCAGAGTCACTGACACTAGAGCCAAGCCATTCAGTGTGATGAACAAGTCACCGACAACAACAATATTGGCTGATGGATAAAGAATGAGGGCTTGGTCAATATAATCAGAAATAACATCAAGAAGAGTACAGTCTTGAGATGAGGGAGAGCGATATAGAACAAAGAGAAAGGTGATAGAGTGAAGTGGTGCTAAACGAAAGCACATAAAAGTGTAGTCTGTGGATTCAAACCTAGTTTCCCGACAAATGGGTGAATTCTTACGAATGTAAATGCCTAGGCCAAGCATGTTACTATTGGAGTCTTTACAAATTAAAGGAAGATAACCATCAACACTAAGATCACAAGATGAAACAGCTGAACTCAAATTAGTCTCACAAAGAGCAAGTAGGTCTGGTGAACTTTGCAAGAGATAAGACTCAACAGAAGAAAAGTTACTTCGAAGACCACGAATATTGGTGAATGATAGGTTTAGCGAACTTGGTGATGACTGTGGTTTTTTGTGTTTTATAGTTTTTGTTACTTTATTCATTTTTAGATTTGTTAAAGAACTTGACTCGAAACATAGATAGCACTCAGTACACTTTCTTATAGCCCAAGCAATCGCCTCATTTCCACTAATAAACCCTAAGCCGTAACAAAGGTACAAACAGGGACACCATCCATGCGCAACATGGCACTGTTAGTACTCTGATATTTTTCAGCTGTTGATGGAATCAGCCTCTCTGAGAGCTACCACAGAGTTCGAGAAACCTGACTACCAGCCGGCCTCAGAACTATAAAACTGAGTTTTAGAGCTGTACCCTCATTTGGAAATAATAGAATGAGTTGCCTAGTCATAAAAACAGAGACAAAAGCAAAACCCATGAATCGAGTCAAGAAGATCTAGCGTTCAACATCTTAAACTGGAAACAATGTATTAAAAATACATCTGCACCAGCCTAATAGATGAAGAAGGAGGCTGGTCAACAGATAGAATCTGTTTACCCCTTAAGTCTTTGCCTTGGAGGCCTTCTACAAGACAGCAGCCGGATGCATTTAACATCTGCCCAAATCATCATTATTTAAATTTAAATGTGCCCAAATCATCATTATTTAAATTTAAATGTGTATTCATTAACTACGCTTTGGAAATTGGGCACAATTCAAATATTTGGTTTGCTTCCAGCTGAAATAATTGTGGATGTCATTGAAAATAAATTATTCAAATTTAATTTATCTACAAAAGCGTATAATTTCCAGTGTAATTTTGTATACAAAAAAGCATATAACTTCCAGTGTAATTGTAATCTGACGGTGCACCAGTTTTTGGTGCATCAAAATTTGGAAGATTAAGCGGGATGGAGCACCAATTTTTTTATGCATGTGATCTACATTTAGCAGTTTTTGATGTTCTTAGTTTTGTCATCGACTTTGACTCAATTGACTAAAAGTCGACTAGTCGAAATTAGTTTTTAGACTTTAGAAAGTCAAAACTAGAATTTTACACTTTGAAAAATCGAATAGTCTATTTAATCAACTAATTGACTAAAAGTCGAATTAGTTGAGTAAAAATCTTTCAATTTTTATCTCTTTTCATTCGATTTAACTTTACAACATTCGATTTAAATTTACTTTAGTTTTTGTTTGTTCATTTAATAACAACAGTATGTACTATTATAACTGTTTACTCTCTTAAAATTTTATCTAACTCATAGCATGTTAGCATTGTTCATACTTAATTAAACTTTCAATTATGTATTTCATTTTTTTCTTATGTTTTAATTACAGGGCCGCTACAAGCTTGCTTAGGGCCCTGGGGCAATATTGAGTTGTGAAGCTCCAAAATTTAAATGTCATTAATCTATACAATCACATTGTAAATATGATTATAATGACTTTTTGATATATAGCAAATATTTATTTATTAAAGTCTGGGAATATATTATCCTTCTGTCTGAGCAGCTCTTCTCTCCTCCATTACTATTTAAATGGCTTGATATTAAAAAATAAAAAGCGAATATAAATTACTTTATTATTTATATTACAATTTATTTCAAGAATTAAATGATTCACTTATTTCGACTAAATCAATTTTTAGTCGAAAATATATTATTATTTAGAAAATATATAAGTCCATTAGGTCAACAGTCGAATTATTTAATTGTTCTAACAACACTAGATTTTCTCTACAAAAAAATCAATAATTTCAAATTCATCAAGCAGTGAGTGTAATGTATTCATCAAGCAGTGAGTGTAATGTATTCATCAAGCAGTGAGTGTAATGTATTCATCAAGCAGTGAGTGTAATGTATTCATCAAGCAGTGAGTGTAATGTATTCATCAAGCAGTGAGTGTAATGTATTCATCAAGCAGTGAGTGTAATGTATTCATCAAGCAGTGAGTGTAATGTATTCATCAAGCAGTGAGTGTAATGTATTCATCAAGCAGTGAGTGTATCCGACACCCAGAATTCTGATGAAAATAATAGTAAAGATAACGAGACTGAAAAAATCAATTTTACAACTTCAGGGGATTTACAGTCAAGCCAAAACAACAACTTATTTAATTTAAAAAATACTATCTATTGGGATTAAGTTTATATATTTTCAAAGAGTAAAAACTGGAACTGTTAGCAAGTTTCAAATCGGATTACTTGATAACATTGAAACCAGGGAAAAAATACTTTAAAAAGCTCAAGAAAAATGTTTTAAAAATAAAGACAGCAATGTTATTTTAATAAAAATAAAAATAGATGAATTATTAAAAAGAGAATGATTTCCGTAATGAAATAGAATCAAATGATAATGATAATACTAGTGTAGAACTACCTTTAGTGCTAGTGAAACCATCATAGTGAAACCATCATAGTGAAACCATTATAGTGAAACCATCATGGTGAAACCATCAGAAAAATAAAATGTATTACAACACCTTAGATAATGCACACACAGCTATGAATAGCGTAAGGTATAATTATTTTAAAACACATTTGTTTATTAACTATGTGTTTATATATATATATATATATATATATATATATATATATATATATATATACACATTTCCTTTGTTAATAATGATACTCAATTTAAAATATGTAAATTCTCCTCACATAGATATGGGGTGCACATACTACAGTTGCAATTGTTACAGCAACACTTATTGATGCAGGATTCATAATGTATGATGATAAAAAGTTATCAACAATTGTAAAGTTTTTAGAACACAAGAAAAAAAAAATACTTTACCTTTGAGAAAGCAACACAAAGTATAAAGCATGCAGTGATAATAGCTAATAATATTGTTGAATGGCTTACTGAGAGATTGAAAAATCCTTAATGGCTGTTGGTGGAGACTCTACAGATGCAAATACTGGTTGGGAGTGCGGAGTCATCAAATATATAAAAATAAAATTTTGAAAAAAACTTGTTTGGCTTATATAACTTCATGCAAATGAGGTGCCACTGAAGCATTTTGTAACCAATTTAGATAGTAAAATGAAATCAAACAATAAATGGTCTGGTGTTATTGAGATCATGATCTGGCTACAGATCTAGATATAAATCATATAATTGAAATAATTTAAATTGGTAATCATCTTATTTCTCTCAATGATAAAATAATAAATTAATTGTCTGCAGATCAATTTTATGTTTATAAAATTGTTTGTGCTGTTAGAAGTGGTATTTTACCATCAAAACTACATTTATTACAAATTGTGCCTGTTTCACATTAAAGATGGTTACTGCTAACAGAACATGTATAACATGAATCATTAAATATAACATTCAAGGTACAGATTTAGAAAACCTAAGATCTATCACTGAGTTCATTGTGAGTGCTTATTTTCCTTGTTGGTCCAAGATCAAAATTAAACATACTTGGATTGAAGATCCTAAAAATGCACTTTACCAGCAAAAGCAACTCAAATTTTAGAAAGAAGATGCCGTTAAAGTAGTATCACCCTATATTCAAAAATCAGCTTGGTTTCAGTGAATAGAAAAAGATTAATAGAAAGTTAATGCTTAAAAATAACAGTAAACAAAAGTCTTGTTTACTGTCACATTAAATTTCTACTGGCCTTTCAAGTTTAGATAATCCTTCTCTCTTTTCATGAGTGTACACTCTACTGGCTGAAGTTAAAAATTGTAAAAAGTAGGGTTACTAACAACACTGGAAACTAGAAAAAAAATCTCTCTTAAAAAAGCAGTATTCTAATTTAATAGAATTTTAAAATTAAAAAAAGAGGATCAAATAAAGTTTGAGGGTTTGAAAAAAAAAAGCGTATAGAAAAAGACTCAGCAAACAGATATGAAAAACAGATATGAAAAACACAATCAAAAAAAGTAAAAGAATTCTGGCAACAAAAGCTTGAAAACTTAGAGTTTTCAGAAGATTGAAAAAAAGTTAATTTATCTATTGGTCATAAAATCAGAACTACTGAGAAAGATAATGCAAAATTCCTCATAAAGTGCTATTCCACAGTGCTAAGGTTTTTCCAATATGTTTTATGCTATTCCACAGTGCTTTAAGCCTAGGTTTTCTTGAAGTGTCTTATCCCCATATCCGTTTTAAAGAAAAATATATAACAATTTGAATTATTATAATTACTATGTAGGCATCATGTATCTGATTTAAAGATAACTTTTTTTGGATATTGGTACCAAATAAGAAAGAGCAAAAGACAAGAAAATAAAAATTATAATTAATCTAAAAAAAACAGCAAAAAATTTAATTTCTCCTATTAAAATGCAGGCACACATTGAAAGTGTCAAGCAAATGCAACCAGAAAATGTTAAACAAATGCAACCAGAAAGAAAAAATAGAAAAGAATTATTTAAATTATCTACCTACAAATGTTTAGAAACAAGTTTTAATGCAAAAAATGCAATTCAATATTTATTTGTAATTACATACCCTGATTTTGAATAAATTTTCACTCGTTTTTCTAGAGGAACCTTTAATATATACTTTTCAACTTCAGCACTATTACCATATTTGATGCACACTTCTGCAAATGGCTATAATACCAAAACAAAAATCCATGTTAACTAAACAAAATTTAATTATTTTTTTAAAGAAAAAATATTCTACGGTTTTTTATTTTTGTTTCATAGAGAATTTTTTATGTTATATAAATATATAAAAATAGAGAAAATATATTTTAAAAATCTGTTTTTTTATGAAGAAAAAAAACATTTACTTTTCCCTTTATATTTGAGGAAAAGTAAACGTTAAATTTTAATAACATTTGATTAAGTTATAAAGAAAATCAAAATTATTTTTAAATTTTTTTAAAATTAAAAATTATTTTAAAATTAAATGAAAACTAATCTTATTAGAAGTTAAGTTTACAAAAAAACTATTTTAATCAAATAAACAAAAAAAACTATTTATTAATTAAACTAATTTGATTTGTTTCATGGTAAGAAGCAGACTTGCGGCATTTTTTCATGCAAAAAAGCTTTTCAACAATTTTATATTTTTTGGGTAAACACCAATTGACAAACCCAAGACTTGCAACAAGAAAAATTGGTACCACATGGTATCATAGGTATATCACATGGTATACACCGAGCTTCACCGAGCTTGCTGAGATCATATCGTGTACAATATGGCTTATAAGTTATCACTGAGCTTGTAACTGTAAAATGCTCATTCAGCTATTGACCTGCTTCTAAAAACTTTTGTTGAAAATTCTGATAGGATTCAACAGACTCAATGCAGATTCTAGCTTTCGCACCCAATTGGTAGAAAACATGCAATATATTGTGAGTTGTCAAAGGTTCTTTGATAAGTTGCTGTGAACCTTAAGATACTGTTTTAAAAAATGTATGATTTAGAAGGTACAAATATTAAATAGTTCACAGGAACCAATTCCTAAATTTCAAGAGGATACAAACTGTACTCTTACAATCCTTTTATTTTTGCTGAGTTTGGCATTTGGATTTTATTGGTAGCATTATTTGTAAGCCAAGTCTTGGTTATTCCTATAATATCATTTTTTCTTGTTAATGTTATTAATTAATAACTCAAATAACTTATCTTTAACTTGAACAGTAGCACTTTTACTTTTTTCAAAATTTGTATAACCTTTTTTGCAAACTTAGTTAATTAATTTTATCTTTATTATTCCTTTATAAACTTATTTATTTCTATCTATTGTTTGCGATCTCATAATAGCAAAAAGGCGCTAATGTTGGCATAAAATGTTCAATTTCTTAAACAATTAAAAAATTTACAAAATAAACCTCATATCCTATTGGAGACTTTTTGGATTTAGAAAACCTCTCAAGCTCATCCCAATCTCGGGTCGAACCTAAAACTTCAATCTTTGTCCACCAATATCGTGAATCAGGGATGGAAAAATCTTTTCGAAGTTGTTCAGCCTGTTTGTTCAACCCTTGGTTGAGTAATTGATAGAGAGTATCAGTGACTGAAAGATTAACAAACTTTTTTTTTAGTTGGTCTTGTAGTTTACTTTGAAACTCCAGTAGTTTAACACTTTCCTCAATAGCCTAAAAAAGTTTTGAATACATTGATTAAATTTAAAATATGTTATATGGTATAAATAGTTAATATAAGTAAAAAATGTGACCTGTTCTAGCAAAAGGAGGTTTTGTCACAAAAGTTAACTGCAAATTATCAAAAAAAAAATTATTTTTGTATTTTGAAAAAATTGATAAAAATATATGAACTTGAAAAATGTGTCTATTTAACACATTTACTACTTTTCATGAAAAATTTATATAACAAAGTAAACAATATTTAGAAATTAATTTCTACCTTTCATTTCAAAAGTTTCAAATAATTCTTTAATAAAGACATCCCAAATACTTCATTAGAAGACTCTACTAGATGTCCTGTAACATTTTGAACAGAAAATGTTACAATAAACATGCCTTGCTAAAGACTTTTTACAGTGTATAAATAATAAGCTTTACTCTTTTTCTTAATTTTGCACATTTAGATAATTTATATCTCTTCAAACCCTCAAAAAAAAAAACAATTTTTTTATTATTTGATTTATAAAATGCTATGACACAAATTTAAAAGAACTTATTTTTGTCAAAAAACATTTTGCTAGAGCAGGTTACATATATAAAATAAATATATGTAATAATATGAGATATATATAAAATAAATATAACACAATAAATAAATATTTAACATTAAATTTATAAATTACTAGAATGAAAAAAAATTAAAACAATTTTATTGATAAATCTCTTTCCAGATAAATACCTTGACTCTTCACGCTTAATGCATGTACACTTGTATAATGATACTACAACTACTATTACACGTAGTGTTACTGTTACCACTACAAATACCACTATGACTTACTACTGTTGCTGCTATTGCTACATCTACTACTACTACTACTACTACTACTACTACTACCTACTACTACTACTACTACTACTACTACTACTACTACTATTACTACTACTACTACTACTACTACTACTACTACTACTACTACTACTACTACTACTACTACTACTACTACTACTACTATTACTATTACTACTACTACTACTACTACTACTACTACTACTACTACTACTACTACTACTACTACTACACAAAAAAGTTATTTTCAATATCTGTTACTATTGATTATTCAAACTAACATTTTTAGTATTTCAAAATTAATAATTTTATACAGCACATTTAACCTACCTGTGAAGAAAATAAGCAACCACCTCTATCAAAAGATTCCTTAGCTTTCCATAGTAATTTAATTCTTGCATCTAGCATATTTTCTAAGAAACTGTCTTGCACAAATACATTTCCACTATAATGAAACATGTCTTCTTGATAATATATGTCTTTAAGTAAGTGACGATCATCATTCTTGCAATGCTATAGCAAATAGTACAATAAAATTTATATCTTTAAATAAAAGAAAATCCAACAAATGATTTTACTCAAAATAATAAAAAATGTAAAAGAACAATGATATAAAGATAAGCAGCGAAAAAATTTTTTTAACTAAATTGACATTTAATCAAAAAATCAAATATTGCCTTTATGAACAAACTCAAAGCCAATGGGAATGTTCTAATCTTCATTAAAAATTCACCGGATTGCAAATTTTTTTTCATTTTATTGGTTACATCATGCACTAAAAAATAAAAAAAAAGATTTTTTTAATTTTTACAACTTTGTAATAACAATAAAGACAATTTTTTAGTATTTAATTTATAATGTTCAGTGCAACCATTGATTTGTAGTGTTCAGTCTAATCATTGATTTATAGTCTTCAGTGTTACTATTGATTTATAGTGTTTAGTGCAACCATTGATTTTAGAAAGCTTTTTGTTAAAGCTTTAAACTTCTAGAGGATAGCTAACTTGTATGTGTTTGTATATTTTTATTACCCAAACTAGGGTTAATATCATAAAGTCAAAAAAATTATATCTTAAAAACAAGCTACTGATTGCTGATTTTAAAAAATAACAAATTCTTTTAGTGAAAAAAGTTTTTTTTTTCACTAAAAGAATTTTTTAAAGAAAAAACAGGGGCTTTTCTTGACCATTTTTGAAAGCATTGACCATATTTGGGCGCCAACTAGGTGCTGCACAAATTCAGAAATTGAGGACCTTTTAATTTTTTTTTAATTTTTTATTTTATAGGGCACATATTGTTTCTCTTCCAAAAAAAATGCCTACATTCGTAAACTACATTTGTAATTCTACCAAATTTCCTTACGGCAGGCACCCGCACATTTGGTACCGTCACCCAAATTACTTTCCTAGAATAGCTCCTGATAGTTAATTAAAGTTGAAAACATAATTGATTAGATGCTTAAAATAATTTTTTTTTTTTTTTAATTTTATTCATAAAAAAAAATTATTTAATTTTCTTATTGAGATAAAAAGAAACATGTTTGAAAATAAATAAACAATATAAAAACAAAAATAATAAAGCTGTTAATAATAAAACAAGGAAAAAAGAATTATGTGCAAGTGGGTAATACTTTTGATATCAGACAAACTACATAACAAATTGGTATTGAGTTCCATAGCAAGGTTGCTCTGTAGAAGCTATTTTTTATGTAATTATGTTTAGAGACTATGGGTGGGAATATTAATTGTTTTACTAGAGCAAAGTCTAAATGGAAAAGACTTTATGATAAAAAGATCTGACATAAACTCTGGGTTTACACCAAAGATTTGAAAACTTCTGCTACTAAAAACCTCAAGTTTTTTAAGTGAATGCTTGGTTTATTTTTCAATTTTAGAATTTCATTTAATAAGAGATCAAGTCTCTTATGAACAATGCAAAGTCCTTTTTGATGAATTTTATTAATTTGATTATTATTATATTGAGCGAAACAACCAAATCAAAGAACAGTATGAAAAATTTGGCAATATAAAAGCATTGAACAAGAGATAAGCTTCAAATATGAAAAGTTCCTTATTTGTGAAAGAGTAAAGCATTTATTATTGGCTTTTTCAAACAGACTTTTAATATGATCATCAAACTTCAAATCCTTATCAATTGTAACCTCAAGAAGTTTAACCTTAGAGGAAACAGATCATTTTACATTTTTTATCACTTTACATTTTCAACCATTAAAAATTGACAATCACATTTTTTTAAATCAACTAAATAAAAGTGAAATTTGTCCAGATATGCAATTATTTTATTTTTAGTAAACCATGAAACTGTATTTGATTTCTATTTGAAAAAAAGAAATAACACTCTCTAAGTTGCTGTCATAAACATAAAGAGTGTTGTTGTCAGCAAAGTTGGAAATTTCTGAGTCTTAATAAATAAGAAAAAATCATTTACAAAAATATTAAGTTACTATAACAAAAGTTTGTATAACCTTCTATGTAAAGTATTACCTTTTAACTTGGCAAAAGTTAATCATGAGAAATTAAATCATATGCTTTTGAAATTTATTTAAACACTTTTAATTAAAAAGTGCATGGATCATACATTCTCCAAAATCCACACAAAGCCTTTGTTAAGGCTTGGCTCGTCAAAAACCCACTTGCTCATAAATAACCATTTCAATGACAAGCTGTGCTGCCAGAATACTAATTTCCAATAATTTTAGTGGTATCATAAGAAGTAATTTGACAGAATTTTAAATTTTGCTAATTTTTTTTTTTTTTTTTGAAATGTTTTTTATATGCTTGCTTGAATTTCCAGATTTTTTTTTTTTTTTTTTTTTTTTTTAACATCTTCACTTCCAACAAGGCTGCAAGCAACCACTATAAGAGTTGGAAGTTACTGGAAGAGAAAAGACTAAACCTGTAGAGCAAGATAACGATTGACTGATGACTTAAAAGATTGCAAATTATATGAATCAGGAAAGCAAGATGAAGGAAGCGAATTCCAAAGAACTGATGTTCGAGGAAAAAAACTAGAAGAATAAGAGTTTTTGAAGCACTTAGGAACAGTCACAGAAAAAGGATGAGACTTAATTGAATGGCGAGTAACACGAGAATGAATTTTAGTAGATGGCACAAGGGACGCTAGCTCTTTAGAGCAGTGCCCATTATAGTATTTGTAGAAAAGAGAAAGAGAAGCAACATTACGACGAAGTGACAAAGGTTGGAGATTGGCTGCCAGAGCAGGTCCAACTATGTTTACAATTCGTTTTTGCACCTTGTCTAAAAGAGAAAGAGCATCATTAGAAGATCCGCCCCAGATGTGGCAACAGTATTCCATACAGGGACGGATTTGAGATTTATAGAGATAGAGAATAGAATCTGGAGTAAGAAAGTGTCGAGCTCGATAAAGAGATGCAACCTTAGCAGATGCTAATTTTGCAATGGATTTGATATACGGTTTAAAAGAAAGATCAGAAGTAAGAGTTAATCCTAGAAGATGAATGGTAGATGACTCATCTAGTACATTACCATTCATAAATATAGGAAGATCTAAATTATTACGATAACGATTGGCCGAATAAAATTGAGTTTTATCTGAATTAAAGTTCACCAGCCACTGTGAGCCCCATGCTGTAGCAGAAGTGAGATCCTTTTCAAGCTCAGATACCCCCTCCAAGCAATCAGAGAGTGTAGGCTTCTTATCATGACAAGAGTAAATGGTAGTGTCGTCAGCGAATAATGCCACCTTAGATGTGAGAATATCTGGAAGATCGTTAATGTAAATTAAAAAGAGTATAGGGCCAAGGATTGAACCTTGAGGAACCCCTGAAGTTACAGGATGTGAAGAAGAGTGTTGTCCATCGAGGACAACTTTTATACTACGATTGGAAAGAAAGGACTCAATAATCTTAAAGACGTTACCAGCTACACCATAAGAAGAAAGCTTATGGAGAAGACCAGCATGCCAAACTTTATCAAAAGCTTTAGAAATGTCAAGTGCGATAGCCTTAGCCTCTCCACCTTTATCTAATGCACGGTAAAACCTATCGGTTATTACTGTTAGCACATCAGCTGTAGAACGAGAAGACCGAAATCCATATTGATGATCAGAAAGTAAGTTATTTGATTCAAGATGAGAGATTAAGTGTTTGTTGATTAAAGATTCAAAAACCTTGCTTATGACAGGAAGGAGACTAATGGGACGGTAGTTAGATGAATCAGATCGCTCTCCGGAATTTTTGAAAATAGGGATAACAGATGCTGCTTTCCAGCATGATGGAAAACAAGACTCTGATAAGCACTTGTTAAATAGTTTAGAAAGTATGGATGAAAGCTCCGGAGAACACCTCTGCAAGACTACAACAGGAATGTTGTCAGGACCACAAGCTGTTGAAGAGTCTAAGCAGGAAATTACTTTAGATACAGAAGCTGAAGTGATGCGAATGTCAAGCAAGGGATCAACCTGTTTGACGGCTATGTCAGGAAAACGCAACTGGTGGAATCAAGAGATGATATTGATGAAAAGTTCTTAGCAAACAATTCAGCTTTGTCTTTAGGTGAGGTGACAAAGTCTGAACCATACAAGAGAGAAGGAATAACAGATTTGCCCTTATTATTGATACTGTTAAAGATTCTCCAGAAGTCTCGAGAGCCTAATTTTTGTGATGAGATACGAGATTTAATGACCTGAGAATAGCGAGCTTTGGCGTCAGACAAAACCTTTTTACAATGGTTTCTGGCGATAGTGAACAGATGTCTGTTTTCTGGAGAATTGTTTTGCTGATAGATATGGAAGTAACGGTTTCGATTAGAAATTGCTGCAGCGCAATGTGAGGAAAACCAAGGAGAAGAGTGAGGCTTGACCTGGAATCGTCGAGAGGGAATAAAAGATTCCATGCCAGCCTGAATCCACGAAGTTATGTAAGAAGCACATTTGTCAGCAGGAAGACGAAAGATTTCTACCCAAGGGCCATCACGAAGAAAATCACGGAAAGAGTCCCAGTCAGCTTTAAGGTAGTTGTATGTGGTACGATGATAGGGGGATTCTGATGAAGTAGAAGAATTTGATAATAGTTTTAGAGAGATCAAACCGTGATCAGAAGTACCTAAGGGTGAATGTGGAGAAATTGAGCACTGACTAGGATCCAAAACAAGACATAAGTCGAGTAGAGAAGGTAAATGATTAGGGTTGTCTGGAAAACGAGTTGGAAAGTTGACTATTTGAGTTAGAGATTGAGAAAGGCAAAAGTTGAGGGCCTTAACGCCAGCAGAGTCACTGACACTAGAGCCAAGCCAATCGGTGTGATGGGCATTAAAGTCACCAACAACAACGATATTGGCCGATGGATAAAGAGAGAGGGCTTGGTCAATTTGATCAGAAATAACATCAAGAATAGTGCAATCTTGGGATGAAGGAGAGCGATATAGAACAAAGAGAAAGGCGATAGAGTGAAGTTGTGCTAAACGAAAGCACATAAATGAATAGTCTGTAGATTCAAACCTAGTTTCACGACAAATGGGTGAGTTCTTACGAATGTAGATGCCCAGGCCAAGCATGTGATTATTGGAGTCTTTACGAATTAAAGGAAGATAACCATCAACACTAAGATCACAAGATGGGACAGCCGAACTCAAATTAGTCTCACAAAGAGCAAGTAGGTCTGGTGAACTTTGCAAGAGATAAGACTCAACAGAAGAAAAGTTACTTCGAAGACCACGAATATTAGTAAATGATAGGTTTAGAGAACTTGGTGATGACGATGGTTTTTTGTGTTTTTTAGTTTTAGGTACTTTAGTCATTTTAAATTTATAAAGAACTTGACTCAAGTATAGATAGTACTCAGTACACTATTTAACAACTAAGCAATAGCCTCATTACTATTAATAAACCCTAAGCCGTAACAAAGGGCTCCAAATGTGGCCTCTGCAATGCACACCAAAAGTACAAACAGGGACACCATCCATGCGCAACATGGCACTGTTAGTACTCTGATATTTTTCGGCTGTTGATGGAATCAGCCTCTCTGAGAGCTACCACAGAGTTCGGGAAACCTGACTACCAGCCGGCCTCAGAACCATAAAACTGAGTTTTAGAGCTGTACCCTCATTAGGAGATAAAAGAATGAGTTGCCCAGTCATAAAAATAGAGACACAAGCAATACCCACGCATTGAGTCAAGAAGATCCAGCGTTCAACATCCTAAACTGGAAACAATGTATTAAAAATACATCTGCGCCAGCCTAATAGGTGAGGAAGGGGTGCGAGGCTGGTCAACAGATAGAATCTGTTTACCCCTTAAGTCTTTGCCTAGGAGGCCTTCTACAAGACAGCAGCTGGATGCATGTAACATCTGCCCAAGATGAGTATTTTTATCGAGACACCATCTCTAGCCTTTACTCAACCAAGAGCCCCAAGGCAGGGGGTGTTTTAATTCGGAGTTAACTTCTCCTAGCCTTTGCCTAAAAAAGCGTATCCTACAAGGCAGCAGGACATGGAGCAGGTTGTACTGGGTTACATGTTACCAGTAGCAGGAAAACCTGACCTGACCTTTTAGTCAAAATTTATTTGAGAGAAAAGGCTTGCATATCTTCCACAGAGATGTGAAAAGATGACTTTTACATTTTTTTTTTCTTTTTCATTCAAGTTCACTACATAGTTCCTTTGTTTCAAATAGAGCACTCCTTGGAAGTTCTCCCAATTTAGTCCGTCTACATATGTACTAAAGCCCCTGGCAGCCCCCTATTCGGTAGACTGTTATGGCAACCCTCTATTCAGTAGGCGTTAGACTGTATACAAAAGTATATATATATTTATATATATATATATATATATATAATATATATATATATATATATATATATATATATATATATACATATATACATATATACATATATACATATATATATATATGTATATATATATATATATATATATATATATATATATATATATATATATATATATATATATATATATATATATATATATATATATATATATATATATATATATATATATATATATATATATATATATATATATATATATATATATATATATATATATAACCCTCGGAATTAGGAAAAATAAGGTCGGCAAAAAAAAATTTTATAGTTAAGTCTTACCATAAGATATAGAATAGAGGTCAGCAATTTTTTGTTAACATTGCTGAATGCCGACCCTAATCGACCCTAATATATATATATATATATATATATATATATATATATATATATATATATATATATATATATATATATATATATATATATATATATATATATATATATATATATATATATATATATATATATATATATATATATATATATATATATATATATATATATATATATATATATATATATATATATGTTAGCATATATGCATATTTATTATTACTTATTTTAATAGAAATAAGAAATCAATCAAATATACGAATAATAATACGTTAACATAATAATTAAAAAAGAAAAATACCAAGCTCTGTGTCATAGCTATACACTGCTTTCTGGAGAGCCTGTTCATATTTTTTCATTTCTATTAGTAAAGGAACTTGTTTGTCTGCTTTCACTTCATAATCTAAAAGCTAATTATAAATAAATTTGATGTAACTTTATTTACAGGACTTTAAAAAAAAAATCATAAATATAAACATATTTTAGATATATTTTAAATAGCACAATTTTTTTTTATAGAAACTCACCTAAACTATAAAGAGCTTTTTTATAAAAATTAAGTTGGGTAATAAGATTTTTATGGAATTTTTAAGTTGATGATAACCATGTCAATCATAGTGATGTTTATATATGCATATATATATACAAAATATAACATGAATTTTGAATTAAAAAAATATACTTTAAAATGTATAAATGGTCATAAACCTGGCCCTGGCCCCGACTATATATTTTATATGGTCAATAAGAAAATGACATCATAGAGACACTTTTAAACACACAAGTGCTAAAACATGGATGCTAAACAAACAAATCACAAAACCTGAAAATTCAAAATTTATTAAGCTTCATAAGAAAACAAACCTTTAATGCAAGTTCAGTTCGCCCTCTTTCATATGCTTTTGTTGCTATATCTGCATAGGAAATCCCAGGTGCATTCTTTAGTTTTTCAGCAATATTCTTAGCAAGTAGTTCATCTGCAATATCAGCTTGTCGAACCTTTTTAAATCATATATAAAACTTATAAATAATTAATCATATCTTGTATATATTACATTGATAAATATTTTTAAAAAAAGAACAATAAATTAAACATTAAAAAAAGAACAATAGATTAAACATTAAAAAAAGAACAATAGATTAAACATTAAAAAAAGAACAATAGATTAAACATTAAAAAAAGAACAATAGATTAAACATTAAAAAAACAACTTCTTAAGCTACTTATTAAAAATATTTTTTTCCTAATTACCAACTCTATCCTATCCTATCATAAAATCATTAATTCAATCCTATCAAATCATTAATCAAATCCTACCAATTACAGATTCATTAAAAGTTGAAACTAATTCATTAAAAATCTGTTTACTATTTAAGTAAATGAACAACGCCAACAAGTAATTTTTTTTTTAAGTTTTTTTTTAAAATTACAAAATAGACCTAATATAAAAAAAATATAAAATTGAAATTATATTGAAAGTATAATGTGTTCATTTCAATTTAAAAACAAAATGCTTCTAAACATTCCTAATGAACAAAAATCCAAGGCGAAACCTCAATTTAGGTGTTGTTTAAGTTTTTCTTGTTTTTTTTACAATTGAATTAAAATTGTAGTTTTTTTTAAGGACTTTTTGTTTGTTTTTGTTTTTTAAAAAAAAAAAAGAAAAAAAAAGCCTTAATTGCTTCAGTGGGACCACTTAAGCCTAAAAGCCTTAGGTGGTCCTGGTCACTTACTAATTGCAAAAAAAAAAATCCAAGGCGAAAAATCCATAGTCCTAGTCTGTCATATGTGACACAACCCCAGAGAATCCCTATTGAACCTCCTTTGCCCTGTAACCCAGATACAATGAAGCTATTCTGAAACTTCTCATATGGTGTCAAACTTTTTTACTTAAATTAACCTTACTTTTTCTACTTAAAACCTTTATTAAAATATTTATTGAATTCTTAGTAAAAGAGTAACGTTCAAACAAGTTCAAAACTTCCTTTAAAAAAATGAATAATAAATACTATGTTTTTAATTAAATTAAATCCAAGACTTTTGGAGAGCATGATGAGAAATATACTTATATTTTGTGGTGGTTGTGGTACATGTAGATTATTATCATGTGAAACATGTGCTGTAGAAGATGGTATGTTTGTATATTGAAGAGCTTGTCTTCCTAAAGCTTTTCTGTACTTCCTAATATCAATCATACAAATATAACAGTTATTGTGATGGTTCTTTGACTCTCTTTATACTCTGGAAACAGCTAAAGACACTGCCTTTCGTCAAAATAGTAACAATCCTGCTAAAGTAGTGCAGTAGATTCCACACTTTACATAAGGGTCCCATGGTTTGTCCTGATTACCCATGGACAATCCAAAATATTTTGTGTGAGCTATCCACAATATTGTACTTTTCATGGTCTTATGAAATACATATTTTTTGCCAATATTGCCAAAAGAGAACTTCGACATCCTCTAAAAGCCATTATGAGATGAACAGAAATTAGATACATATTAAGTGTACCTCAAGATGTTTTTAAAATAAATTACTTTGATCTTGAGTGCAAACTTTTAATGTGTTTTTAATGACAGGCATGCAAAGCATTTTTTATACATTTTATGAAAGATTTCAAAGCTCTTTTTATACACTTTATGAAAGATTTTACAACAAGGAAACAGAAAGTCTCATATTTAAAGTGTTTTTATTTCAATTCACCTCCCTAAGGCCATGAAGGCCTCTACAGTTGAGGAGGCTAATTTAGTTGTGGTAACAATCCTCTCTCAACTCTATAACTCTGAAACACGAACCTTAATGAACAAAGCCGCTGCGCAGAGAAATAAGTTGAAGTAAACAGTTGAACAAAAAAGTATCTACTTGTGATGTATTTTTCTGTCTTAGTATTATATATGTATTATTATCTGTCTTGTAACACACTACTTTTCTTTACTCATTTGAGCCTAGGCTCCAAGAGAAACACATAAATAACATCCCATGAAATGTTTTGAGAGGCAACGACAATGTATGGGCGCTCAGTTATTGGTTGGCACTAAAAATCAATCTTACAGAAAAAATTTTACATTTTTGGAATCAGCAAAAAAAATTGATTAATAATCAATAAAAAAAAATTTACAGTAGACAAAAAACTTATAAAAATATGTAATATTGAGTAATATTACAGAAAATGAAAATTTTATTCTCTTTTTCGTCAAATTTTAGCAAATAAATATTGGTGTAGACACATGAAAGTTTATTTGAATTATACCTTTAGTACTAAAATTAATTTATTTAAGTCATTTTTATGCTTCCAAAAGTTGCGGCTTTTCTTATTGTCACATGATAAAAATAGTATCATTGTAAAATGTTATTTTAAACATGAATTTATTTGCATAATCGGAATTAATTTAGCGTGAAAATGGAACTAACATGTTCAAACTGTTGTTGGTCAGATTTTATACTTTATAAAGTATATATATTTCAAGAAAATAATGAAAGAACTTTTGCAATTTTCGTAAGTGAACTAAAACATATTAAAGCTTTCTTTTTTACAAAACTTGAGTTTTTCAAAAATATATGCAAAAGAATATTTAATGTTACATTTTTACATTTAAAGTTTTGAATAATTTGTATTCTTATTTTGGTTAACATATAAATATAAGAATAGACATATAAATATAACATATAAAAACAAGAATTATATTACTATTTTTATTCAGACATTAAAAAAAGAAAAAAAAAGTTTATCCACTATTCTCCTAATATGAAAAAAATCAGTGAGAACCTTTTTTATTTTTGTTTTAAAAAAAAATTGTATTAAAAAAATTGAAGACCTTAAATCAAAGACCTTAAATCGAAGACCTTAAATCGAAGACCTTAAATCGAAGACCTTAAATCGAAGACCTTAAATCGAAGACCTCAAATCAAAGACCTTAAAATGAAGACCTCAAATCGAAGACCTTAAATGGAAGACCTTAAATGGAAGACCTTAAATCGAAGACCTTAAATCGAAGACCTTAAATCGAAGACCTTAAATCAAAGACCTCAAATCGAAGACCTTAGTGCTAAAAGTACTTACAAAATACTCATTCTGAGATAATGGAGTTCGAATATTCAAACTGAACTTGAAATCAGGCAAGGCATGCTAATACATTTCTAATAATTCCTATACATTTACATTATTATAATGAATAAATCTGCTAATTTTAAAACCTTAAGCCCTAATCTTTTAAAAGATATATTTGATTTATTTTTTGGACTTAAGCACTTTTGTCCTAATACGAGACTTCGGCACTTTTTGCACAGAAAAAAACCCACTAAACTAAAGATTTTTTTAAACATATATTATTACTATAAAGAAATAAGTCTATTCTATGTCTTCAATGTCACTGGTGTCTCCATCTGCATCTATACCATGAATATTACTATAAAAGGTAACTCCTTCTGGAAGATTGACATGTGTTAAAAGATCACAAATGTCATGAAATTTTGCACGAAAATTTACATATGCTCTATTAGGTTTGAGTGAAAGAAGAGTTGAAAGTTTTTTACCACATTTGATAGTTTTTATGACATCACAACAGTCTCTGGTCATTGAAATTCAACTTAGTGAAACCTTGCCTCGTTCAAATTTTGCTCCTCTAAACTTACCAATTCCAGCAACTGGTTTTATCAAATCATAAGCTCTTTTAAAGTCCAGTACTTTAACAACTTTAACTCCATCTTCGATCATGTTGTCTGTAAGAGAATGCTCCACATACACAACATTAAATGGTTTCTGGTATCTATATTCTTCACAAATGATACCCACTGCGAAGGTAGAATTACCCTGTCCTTTTTTCTTCTCCTTTTTTCAATGCGCCCAAAATTCCGATCGCAAGGTATTGGACTATGTCCAGGGAGAGGATACTTTACATAAGCTTGTGTTATAAAGACATTCTTATTTACCAATCTTTGTAGGTAAGCAAAGATATAATGGTTTTTATTCTGTGAAAAACAGTTATCCATGAAAATTATAATCTTTTTAGTTGTAGATGGAAAACCAAATATGTAATGATCCAGACATGAAATGACTTCATTTGGGCCCTTAGCTGCAAAATGTTCAGCATACAGATTCATATGAGCAGATTCACTTACATTGTTATGAATGCACAGGTTGTGAATCCAAAGTTGACGCTTATAATACTCTTGTCCAATGCCAGTTAGAGAAAGGGGTAAACTTTTTTCAAAGTCTAAACAGATCACTGCAGTGTCTTTGCTTAGTTTTGTAGCTTCTGTGACTTCGTTGATTTGCACATTAAACACATCAGCTTTCTTTATGTGAAGCTCATGTTAAAATTTCAGTTTATTTACAAGAATGACATCATTAACAGATTCTGCTTCATTTATTGCATGTCACTCCTTGGAAATCCAAATTTAATGTTAAATTTAAAGTTGTATTGGTAAATTTAAAGTTGTATTGGTAAACTAAATATGTATTGGTAAAGCCAGTATTTACAATCATTAGGTATAAAATCTGGATTTGCCTTTAAAAATAGGTGATGCATTTCTGCCACAGTCAGAGATGAATCAAAATATTTTTTCTGCTTGTTTTTTGATCGGCTGTATTGGCTTTCGCAAACACGATCTCTAATTATTTTATCAATTGTTTTGTGATTTCCGTGTTTACCCCGACCATCCTCAATGGGAACAGTAAAGTTAAGAACTTTTCTCTTAAGCCTTGATTCCTTTATCCCATGCACAGCAAGAAATGCTGCTTTGCAAACAGAAACAGTTTGGTCCATCGCAGTGACTGAATAGAAAAAGCTACTTTGTTCTTTGCCATTTTCTTTTCTAGGCCTTCGATGAATACTATTGACAGGGGTTACATTTATGCATCCCTGCAGATATATATTTTGTGCATCGTGATCTTTAAGAGCAAAAAATGCTGAAAAAATCTGATCTTTTTCAATATCCGTGAATTTAGTAAGACATCTACAACGACATTCAACTATGGCAGGCTTTCTTGATGGCTTCAGCTTTTTATCATACGATGTGTGAGCTTCTCCTAAAATAAAAATTTGTTATACTAAATATCAATGCTTTTAATGTTGTCATTTTATTATACATAAATATTTACATATAAAAATAATAATTTATTTTTACATATAAACTTGGGTCTTTTTTACTAATTTATTACTGCTCAGTACATTAAGAACGTTGATCACATTTGTTTTAGTAGAATACACTATATTGTTTAATACACAAAGTGTGCTTTATATAAAATATAGAACACACTATATTGTTTAATACACAAAGTGTGCTTTATATAAAACTATTTAAAATATATATAGTTTTATACATAATAACATTATTAATAATAACAAGTATAAATAGTATATACTTGTATTATATATGTACAATTATGCATATATGTACATACTTGTATTATATATGTACAAACATATATATCCTGTTACCTATGACTTTAGCCAGTTTAATGCCATTTCTTTTCCATTTAGACAGTGTTAGTCTTCTTTCTTAGCTTTGGTTTGCATTTTGAGTAAGGTAGCGTTTGCCTCGTCTGCCATTTTTTAAAGTTATGAACTAAAAGCTGCTTGGCGGGAAAATTTAAGTTAAGAACTTTTAGCACCAAAATAAGGAAGGAAGAAGTACTTAAAAGGACTCAAGTACTTTTTGTCCATTAAATAGTATCATTCTTTTTTTTGGCTTGTCTAATAGGGGGGGCATAGGTACATTTTTAAATGTTGCAATTTATCCAGGACAAAGACCTTAACCGTATTAGAAAAAATCACTAATTAGTTTAGTTTCGTCAAAATGTGACATAAGTACTTTTAGCACTAAGGTCTTCAATCGTTTGTAAATGCTATTAAGTGGGATCATCCATGAAACAGGTCACGCTAATTTTGTCAACTATTAACCCCTTCCCTCCTGTCACAAACGATCACATATACCTGAACCCCTCTCCCTCCTAAACTGTCATAGCAGTTTAAACGTCAAAAATATTTTTATAAAAATGGGATTTAAATGTAAATTTTTTGCAGCATTTTAAAAATTTAACTTATGAAAATACGCATAAGAAGTAAGAAATGTAAGTAAAAACATTGATAAGCTAAAGATTTTCTTATTTAAATGACTCAAATAAGTATTAATAAAGTTGTAATACTAAATAAATTTTGAAGTTGCTGTTGGTCTTGCAGAAAAACTGTTTTTGATTTGATAACTTCCATGAAATGAAAAATCAGTTAGGAAAAGTGCCACCAGTTTTAAAAAAATTCCTTTGTTAATTATTTTTAATGAGTTCGTTCTTTTGCAATTTTTTTGTTATATAACTCTAACTTTGAATAATAGATATAAAAAATCCACCATAATAATCGCTCAGTAATGTAAGTGATGTAACGTAAGTTAAATATATAATATCAGTTTATTTTCCTTAGCCGATCACCTCTGAAAAATTTTTATATAATTTTTAAATTGGTATAGAATTCTCAACATCTTGTGAAAGTTTTTAATACACACTGCTTTACTGATTGGCAGAAATCTGACCTAAAAGTTGAATTAACTTTTTTATCCAGTTTTTTGTGTAACAAAGAATTTTAAAATAAAAATATTAAAATATGCTAAAAATAAATGTTTGTAGAACTTATAAATAGTTGATTAAATTTAAATATTTTTATTTACAATATAAAAGATTTTTAAAAGAATTTAAAGTTTTAGCTAATTAATTTTTTTTTTTTCAAGTATAAAAAAATTTAAAAATTTAAATCTTCTAGTAACTTTGTCTTGTTACTACTCTGTAAAAGGTGTTTACTATCCTGTACTGAAAGGATAATACATATTCATATATCTTTAAAAAAAATTATTCAAAAATAAGTTTAAAATAATATAACAACCTTGTAACATGCCCAGTGGGCAAGAACTCGACTTGCCCCATCTCTTTTCTGAAGACGAAGGTAATCACATATTTTAATTGCTAAAGGATATAAACGCCTCGCTATTAACCTAGTAAATAATGTTTTGTTTTTTTCAACTTTGTTAGATTAAAAAAATTTAAAATTTAAAATTTCAGATTTAATAAAGTTTACATGCTGAAAAAAGAAGAAAGAAATTACCTTACCTATCTATAAGAACAGGAATAGTAATTTTTTGTAATCTGATGACTGTTAAAGAAACTTTGATAGGGATTTTAAAATATTTGCAAATACCAGGTTTGGAAACAAAAATGCTACAAAAGCAATAGTATTATTAGTGCATTATTATTTTTAAAATGCAGCAACTATTTTTATCAGTTTTTTACATTTATTTGTCCAAGTTTTCTGGAAATTTGAGTTTTAATCAAAGAACTAATAAAGAGCAAAAATATTGATAAAAATACATTTTAATCAATATTTTTAATCAATTTTTTTGTAATTTTAATCAATATTTTTTGTAATTTTATACAAATTTAATATTAAAAAATTGTATCTTTATGATCCAACTTAACTGATGATGTTCTATTAATTTCAATTAATAGAACCGGATCATCAGATCACTGATGAACATCCGGTTGATCAGATCAACTGGATGTTCAAGCTCACTGGATGTTAACTGATACTTTAACTCTAAATTTAGTTAAATATAATGTGTTTCCTCATCCAATTATTTCCTTTATTATTTTATATTAAAGTAAATATGTATTCTTTTGTCAGAGTTGCAATATTCTTGAAATTATACTTCCAATATTCTCAGGAAAAAGTAATAAAATTAAGCAAATCAGCTAAGATAAACAAAAGAAAAATTTTACTTTAAAATCTCAATTAAAAAATACCTAAAAAATATTCAAACAATAATGCAGCAAAAAAAATAAATAAACAATGACTCCTCTCTAAACAAACAATAAATATTGTTCATGTGTTAGTAACAACTTTTATCTTTGTAAAGGGAAAAGATACTGATCATAAGTGATTGGGATTCCAATTTTAAAGTACTGAACATTATTCAATACTCTAACTGTCTGACACATTTCAACAAAAACTCGAGGATTCATATCTTGCAGAAATCCTTTGCCAAATGAAGCTGCCTAAATTATTTTAGTAAAAATAAATTAGATTTATGAATAATTATTCCCATCTAAACCGGATGGAATCATTAAAATCAACTTTTTTTCCAAGAAAAAAATGGAAAAAAATAGAAAAAATTGTGCATAAAAAGTAAACTAATGAACCAAGTAAACCGTACTACTGAACTTAAGTATTTATTATATTCATACTATATGTATACATATAGTGCCTACACCTCCATTGGATCAACCTTAACAAGGGAGATTATTTTTGATGTGCAATTATTGCACACTACCTATGGGACGTAGCACATAAAAAGTATAAGTTAAACGTTCAATAAGCATACCAAATTTGATTTAATTGACTAAAGGGCATTCCATTCTGATTGGATGTTTATAAACAGTTGCAACAACCTCATAGGCAGTTGTCTCCAAGCTGGGAAAAAATAAAAATAATCGAATTTTGTTAAAAACATTTTTTTTGAATAACAGTTCAGTTCGACTGGACTCTAGGATTCACAATTAGTAAAGTGTTTAACTACGATAAAATAAAATTTATCACCTTAATAAGGCTTGCTCGTGTGTAAAATTTTTATGCGAATATTTATTTCTTTTTTCAAGCACTAAATCTTGCTTTAATTGACTAAATTTAGTTACACTAAATATTTAGTCGACTAATTTGAGTTAACTAAAAAGTTAGTCGACTAATTTTAGTTAGACTAAAAAGTTAGTTGGTGATTTTAGTTAACTAAAAGATTAGTCGGGTAATTTTAGTTAGCTAAAAAGTTATGCGGGTAATTTTAGTCAGCTAGAAAGTTAGTCGGGTAATTTTAGTTAACTAAAATGTTAGTCGACTAAATTTAGTTAACTAAAACATTAATCAACTAGTTTTAGTTAAATAAAAGGTTAGTCGACTTATTCTAGTTAACTAAAAGGTTAGTTGACTAATTTTAGTTAACTAAAAAGTTAGATAAGTATTTTTAGTTAGACTAAAACTAACCTTAACTCCCATCCCTATACATATATATTAGGATGGGTCACTTTTCAAAAAAATTTTAATTTAGGTTTGGTTGGCCCATTTTTTTAATGTCTTGATCATATGATACTGAGAACTAATTTTCTTCATTTTTACATGTTTAGTCAGATAGTTTCAAATTTTAAAAGTCATAAATGCATAGTTTTACATGTGGTTTTGGTACTAACTGCTTTGATACTATTCTGATCAAAATAATTCTATAAAATCAAAACAATTCTATAAAATAAAAAGATTTACTTAAATCATAATAAAATTAGACCATAACATTAAAACATTTTAAAATTAGACCATAAACTACATTACTAGGCTTTTTAAAGTCTTTAAAATATATTGTTTATGTGTACAGCACATTAAAACATAAAAAAAAAAATTTTCAGCAAATCTTTCTATGAATGGCACTCAGGCATCAGTTTTTTATCTGCCATTGTAGCCCTTATGAAGCCATCTCTTTTTTAATTACCATAAACTGACATTGAAGCTCTGGTCACCTCTTTCACAATGCGTTCAACAGATTGATTGTGAACAGGAAAGTTTGTACAATCATTGGACTGTTAATAAATTGAATTATATTTTGCTTTAATAGGCAAAAAGTAAGTAACTGGTTCGTTGATCTCTGCTGTTTCCCAATTAATTGAACCTATCAGACTCCTTGCTTTAGTATTTATCGTTGGTCTCTATTGATTTTATATAATATTCAAATTACTTTATTATCATATTAGTAATAAATCTAGCAATTATATTGAGTTGCATTCACAAGTACTAAATGTAATACTTGGATAGAAACTTTAATAAACTGTAAAACTATTTAAATAAAATTTTGCATAAAATTTTTTTTTAACATTGACTTTTATATAAATTAATAAATAAATTGATGATAAGCTATCCTAACTCAACTAACTAATTATATTCAAATCTTTTTCAGCCAAACAGAATTTCTAATTTCTGGCAAGACAATTATTATAATTAAAAAGTACATTAACAAAGTACAAGTTTCTATGATTTATAAAGCTTAACCTTTAAATTCATTAAGGAAAGAAAAATGAGGAGAATTTTACAATTAATAAGTATAAAATCAGAACTTGTATTAGCAACAAAAACAACAACAACAAGATATTTATTTTCTTCAAAATTAACAATAATATGTCAATAATAATAATAATAATAATAATAACAATAATAATAATAATAACATTAATAAAAATAATAAGAAGAAGAATATCTATAATATTATAAATATTAAAACCAAAATATTATTATTAAGAGTAAATATAAATAAATGATTCATAAGGAAGGAGTCACTAATGCAGAAGCCTGATCAAAGGAGTGACACAAAAACAAAGAAGTGACACCAAAAATCAGAATTATCAAGTGACACCAAAAAGCAGAAAAGCAGAGTGACACCAAAAAGCAGAATTATCAAAATTTATGAGCTCTGTCAACTTTTATAAGTCAAAATTTACAATATCTAAATAAGTTCTACATAACTCAGAAGTTATACAAATCTATATAACTAAAAAGAATAGGACCCCAAAATCCTGTCATCATATTTGCAAAAAAGAGGCATATATATAATCCAACTTTAACAAATATAAAAGATTTCAAAATTTCTGGGACTACTTCAAAAAAATATAAATAAACATTAAAAGACACCAAAAAAAATTAATTCACATACAAAAAAACACAATAGTATATAATGATAAAAAAAATTGTTATCATTGAACATTGAAAACAGGTTCTACTTCATAACAGTTTTTCATTACTTGTATAAAAAATGCATACCTTTAAAAAATCCATACCTTTAATAAACGTCTTTGTTTCTTAGGATCAAACTCATAGCCTGCAGCACTAATACACTCTTGAACGGCTTTTAATAAATGATCTTTAATTGTTTTCATGTATTCATCAACACGAATGCTTTTTTTCTAAAACAAAAAGCAATTCATACCCTAAACATAATTAACATTTAAAAAAAACTACAACAAATGTGCCTTGATTACCTTAAACATACAACAAATGTGCCTTGATTACCTTAAACATACAACAAATGTGCCTTGATTACCTTAAAACTACAACAAATGTGTCTTGATTACCTTAAAACATACAAAGTTTACCTCAAACTCCTTTGAAGCATCAACTAATATTGCTCCTGGTTTTACAGATCCTAGCTTATATATATCTTCAACTACCTCTAATATTAAAAAGAAAATTAAATCTTTAAAGTAAAATTAAAAACAAAAATTAAATTTATAATATTTAAAATTACAAATAATTAAAATTACAGTAAAAAAATAATTAAGTAGAAAAAAATTAAAAAATTAATTTTAAATTTAAAACAAATTTTAGAATATAAAAAAAATTAAAAAAACTAAAACCATTTACCAGGAACTTTTTGAAGAAACTCTGTAGTCTTGCTATCTACTAGCCTAACCCCATCCAGTTCTTGGATTAAGTGCACATTCCTGTCTACATAAAACCTTTCAAACAAAAATGTAATTATTAAAAACAAAACTATAAAAGTACAACAATTCAAACATAACAAAATTAAAATATAATATATATAATATTTATAAATTAAATAAAATTGTTTCAACACAATTTTTAAAAAAAATGTTTTTTTTTTTTTTCTTGCTTTTTTTCCAAAATTTAAAATGTTATTCGATTTTGCATTTTAAAATAACTAAAATAAATTTTGGTTATTTTAAAATGCCAAAGGGAAACAATATTTAAATGTTGATAAATTGAAATAAAGGCAAATCCACATGTTTTGAAAAAAATGTCATTTGCTGATATCAGAAAATTTAGGAAGTATGTGAAATTGAATATTTGATATTTTCATTCAGAATTGCGGCTATAAAACAAAGTATTAATAAATTCAAATAATAAGATACAAAAAATAAATTCAAATAATAAGATAAAAAAAATAAATTCAAATAATAAGATACAAAGCATCATCAATTTTTATTGAATAAAAATTGAAATAAGGTTATATAATTTTTCACCATCATTTTGCTAAAATTTTCAAATTAATTGATGAAATGAAACCAGACTGTAAAAAAGTAGACTGTAAAATAATGAATATAAATGAAAAATGAAGATTACAAATGAAAAATTTAGGTTAGCATTTAAACAGTGAACTATACCAATAATAACAGATCCGAATTAACATTTTTACATAAAGAATGATACGATTTGTTGATGTGCAAGAGATTTGTACCATCAGCAAAGAGATGGACTGAAGAGAAGTGAACAGAGTTAATTAGACTGTACAAATGAAAAATGTAGACTGAACAAATGAAAAATATTTTACTAAAAATTTAAAATTAACCAATTTATATTATAGAATGAAAAATCTTCATAATCAAACATTTTTAATATTTATATATTTATATAAAATATAAATATCACATAAATTTTATATATTTAACATTTTTATATATTTAAGATTATTACTATAAACAGAATGTTTAAAACTGAAAAACCACCAAACCATCTATTAACTAAAGCTCTAATTTTAAAAAATACAACAGAAGAATAAAAATAATAATAACCAATAGAAATTAATAAAAGTACTGGTATACTTTTAAAACTAAGTTTTAAGGTCAATTCTTGAAAACTAAAAATGGCTGATCAAGCTGACCTGGTTGGATCCCAGGCTAAATAAAAACCATCAACACCATTTTCACACACACTATCCAAGCCTCTATTTATTATTTTTAAATAATTTTTATTATTTAAAAATAATAAAAAAAAATTATATCAAATACATAGATTAGATCATTTAATAACTAAAAACACAAAAGTGAAAAACAAACAATAAAAAAAAAAAAGCAATAAAACAAAAGATACTTTATTATATCCTGTTTTGGTCCTACAACTAAAAGATAGTTATCCCAATGACCCACTACAGCCCCAGAGCCGCACCATACAAGTTGCAACGGCCGCACCAGATAATTTGAGTTGTACTGGCAATAAACATCCTAAAAGAAAAGAAAATTTTGTAATAAGGTTTGTAACTTATGTTAGCAATTTTTTTTTTTTTTTGGCTCAGCAGGGGTAAAATTGAAACTGACGGATATTTTGAAATAATCAAGTACTTTTGATATAAAAATTATTTCACTACACAATAATTAAAAAAAAAAAAGAAAGTAGAATAACAATAATAATACTAAAACCAATAGAAATAAATAAAAGTACACTTTTATAACTCAGTTTTTAAGTTTACTCAGAAAAAAAATGCCAAAAAAAAACATTAACCAAACCGTCAGTGAATTTTCTGAAAAAGAAATTAAAAAAAAAAAAAAAACAATAGCGAAAATTATGTAGATAAAAAAACTTTATTATCAAGTTGATCTGATTAGATCCCAAGCTAAATAAAAACTATCAACACCACACACACACAAAAACATCATTTAAAATAATACAAAAAAAACCCTACTGATAGATTTGAAGATCCAATCCATAAAAGTCCAGTATCAGCAAACATAGCAACAAATCTTTGATCAAATGAAACTGAAATTTTGATGAATGCATTTACAGGATGTCCATAAGGTGGATTCTATATAAACAAACAGTAAAGCAAGTTAAAAATAAGAAGAAATAAATATTGTTGCGATTGGTGGATGTTCTAATAATTAGTCACTATTTGTATTCGCATTTTTATTTATGCATTTTTGCAAATGTATATTTTTATTATTCTTAAGACTGTTCTTAGGGTGTTGCTTAGGGTGTTGCTTAGGGTGTTGCTTAGGGTGTTGTCTTGTGGTGTAGAAAAAAAAAATTATTTTATTAAATGGTAGAATACCAAAAGAAATTAATAGGATTTTTTAGAGTATTAAAAGAAACTTAAAGGATTTAGCAGATATAACTATTATAATTTAGAAATAATTTAAAAATTTAAATCAATTATAAAAAAACAAAAAAACATTTTGTTTAAATGATTAAAAAACAAATTAATTAAAGTAATAATAACAATCATAAGATTAACAAATAAATATAAAAATGGCTGATCCAGTATGATGTCATCAATGACATCATACTGGACAACAAATAAAAAAACTTAATAATAAAAAATTAGAAAGGAAACTTTGCCATATTAAATGTCCTTCATATAAACTGCTGCCTTTCCAAACTATAATCATTATATGTATTAAAACCATTAAAAATGGCTGATCCAGTATGATGTCATCAATGACATCTCATGCACATCTTCATTTATTGATAATGTATTACAAGCGTTAGAAAAATAAATTATTATAGGTGTCACCTTTGATTTATGTTGAAAAGTGTCGAGTTCAAATATAATGTTGTCTTTTGCCATAATTACTTTCGTTCCTTGTTCTTCAGGTAAACTTAAAACAGCCCAACTGCTTGGAGGTATCTCAAGAGCTAAATTTTAAAAAAATATATATGAAATACTAAATTATGTTTGCAGAATAAACTTTTTTTTTTTTAGGATTTAATATATTTACAAATATTTTTCTTGCTTATCTATCTTTCAACTTGCTTATCCAAAAGTACTTGTTTATTCAAAACACACTTAACTTGCTTTAATTTAGTTTGCAGGTTAATTTCTTAAAAAAAAAAATATTCACTTCCAACAAGGCTGCAAACAAATACTGTTAAGTAGTGAATTACTAGAAACCAATGAATATTGAGTATATAAGTTGAAAAAACATAAAGATGGGAGAGAGTTATAAAGGATTAATGAGCGAGGAAAAAAACTAAATGAATAAAAGTTTTTAGACTATGAAAGAACAGATATAGTATTAAGGATACAACTTAGCTGAATGATTAGTCAAGCTAGAATGTGTTTTGGTTGATGGCACTAAAGGTAGAGATAGAGAAATCAGTAGTAAAATAGTGGCCAGCACAATAAAGAGAAGCAACCACAGCCTATAACTTTGCAATGGATTGTATATATGGTTTCCAAGGGTGGTCATTGGTGAATGATAATCTGAGAAAACATAAATTAGAAGACAGTTAACAATATTGTTGACAACCCCCAAGCAGTAAATAGAGCTACTTTAGATTGTCAGGAAAATCATGAATATAGATTTAAAAAAATACAGAGCTAGAGATAGAACCTTGCCATACCCCAGAAGATACTGAAACAAAGAAGAGTGTTGGCTTTAGAGAATGACTTTAACACTGAAGTTAGAAAAAAATGATTTAACAATCACAAAAACATTTTCAGATATGAAGCAAGTTTTTACCATATGAAGCAAGCTTATAAAGAAAATCTTTATCAAAAGCCTTTAATATATCATGAGCAATAGTCTTTACCTCGCCATCTCTTCTAATGGTCTCGCCACCTCTACCTAAAGCACAATAGAACTTTTCTGTTACAACAGTGTTAGTAGTGTTTTACAAGAGTGTTATACTTAACTTTGTTAATGACACTGTTGATAATTTTAAAAAGGTTTCTAGAACCTAACCTGTGGGATAAGATAAAAAATTTAGTAAAGTGAGAACATTAGAGCTAGCATAAGTCAACTTAAATTTGTGAAGTTACATACAAACTTTACAAAAAAAAAACATGAATATTTAAATCACTCACAAAATGATTGAGGAGATTGCAAACGATTAAGCTTAATATCGTATATGTTGTTTGCAACAAGAAATTGATATTCGCTCGTCAGCAAACATATCCCTGTTCCATAAGTATTTGTAAAAACTTCAACTTCTAAAACCGTAACTCCTGGTGGTTCCTAAGTAATTTTAATGAGTTGAAAAAATAACTTTTTACTAATAAACTTTTTTTTTTTAGTTTTCATAGACTTTATTTAGAATTAATAAGTAAAACTTTTTTATTAGGAAAAAGATTTAAAATATATTATTATTAATTTTTATATCACTGTTGTTATTGATATAATTATTATTTTCATTATCATTTTTATTATTTTTATTTTTATTATTGTTATTACTGTTATTAATAATATTTTATTTTTATCATTATAGTTTTAATATTATTTTGATTATTAATATTACTATTTTTGATTATTGTTATTATTGTTGTTATTAATAATAATAATTACAGTATGATTATGTTAATATAAGCAATATTCTACAGCATGACTATGTATAAGTAAATCTGGAGCTGAATAAATGTAATGAATCATAGTTTTTTGGATTATTAAGAGTATGCAAAATTTGTAATTAAAGTTGGGGTTTGATTGCCATCACTATCATCATCATTTTAATCTCCGTTTCTCAATAATTGCATAGGTTTGTCTGTTTCTAATTATGTTGCTTTTTCAATACTCACAACTTAGCACATCTTAATAGGCCCAGCCAACTCATAACAACATCTGTGTAAATTTTTGTGTTTCCAGCCTATTCCTTTTTCTCCAGAAACAAAAATTTTGATACCAATTATCTCCATCTCTACACTATACATGCTAAAATCACCTTGGCCTTCTCTGGTAGATCCAATTAGGTACACTAACTATTTTAACTATTTGTGTGTATAAATGTGTGTGTGAATTTAGAATTTTAGTCTAAATTCTACTTATATATTTTTAAATTGAAATTAAACATCAATAGGAAAAATTTACACAAGAGACTCTAATGTTTTGAGGTAAATAAGTGCTTATTTTGCAAATGAGCTTGTTTTTTTGTGTGTGTATGTGCATTTGTAAAAATTATATAATTATTTTGATAATATTTTTATATCATTGCAACCATTTGTAAAATGTTTTTTTTGTGTGTGTGTGTATGTGTGTGTGTGTGAATTTATGATTTCAGTCTAAATTCTAGTTAGGTATTTTTAAATTGAAATTAAACATCAATAGGAAAAATTTAAACAACAAGAGATTCTAATGTTTTGATGTAAATAAGTGCTTATTTTGCAAATGAGCTTGTTTTTTTGTGTGTGTATGTGCATTTGTAAAAATTATATAATTATTTTGATAATATTTTTATATCATTGCAACCATTTGTAAATATAATCTCATCTATTTATTAAAAATGCATTAAAAAATTAATAAAAAATATTAATAAAACTATTAATAAAAAATGTAAATATTTAACAATGCATAATTTAAATTGTTTTAATACTGTTAAATTTGTTTAAAATTTTTTTTTTAATATATACCTTCATTTTTTTTTAATAACTCAATTTTACATTTGATAGTGTTAAATGACTATGATATTAAGTGAACTACACTACCAATCATTGTTATTAAAAAGAAAAGAAAAAAACTTAAAAGGAACAATTCATTCTAAAATATACTTTCAAACCATGTTATTTATGATATCACCATATTTTTAATGAGCTTGTTTTTTTTTGTGTATGCCTGTGTATGCGAGAGAGAGTGTGTGTGCGCGTGTGTGTGTAGCTGAGACATAATGTTGGCTACTACTAATTAATTAAAGTTCAATTTCACATTAAACTTTAAATAATGTCTATGGAAAAACTAAAATAATGTCTGTGGACAAAAACTACTAAAATAAAATTAGATCAAAAAATGATGTACTTAAATTAGTTGTTTGATTAAGCTTAAGCGTACTAACATATATATATATATATATATATATATATATATATATATATATATATATATATATATATATATATATATATATATATATATATATATATATATATATATATATATATATATATATATCTGTGTGTGTGTTAATAAGAAAAAGAAAACAAAAAAAACAAAAACAAAAATCTTTAACTAAACTACACCTGAAAGTAAAATCGTGACAAATTTAACGGCTCAGCAAGAAAAACAGATAAAAAAGATGTTAGATGGTGTAATAAAAATTTCGAGGATGAAATAAAAAACTTAGAATCCAAGGTTGCGGAATGTGTTAAAGAAAACAAGCAACTAAAAAGTATAATTGCAGAAATGGAAAAATCAAAAGAAGTCAATTCTGATACAAACGGAACTATGTGGTCCAAAGTTGTATCAGGGGCTGCCAAAAAAACAAATGACCAACCATTTCTTCTTTTTGAAAACACAAAGGAACGTAAAGACCAAGAACGCAGAGAAACAAACCTCATCATCTATGGATTAGAAGCTACACAATGTTCTTCACAGACAGAAAAACTAGAAAATGACAAATCGCAAGTTAATAATTTACTTAGTGCTATCGAATCCGATGGAGCAAAAGTGAGATCTATATTCCATCTTAAATCTAAAAGAAGCATCAATCCTTTGCTGATTGAGCTTAAAGATGTTAATAACAAAAAATATATATATATTCTTAAAGCATCAATTAAATTTAAAAAAATCAAAAAATATGAAAATGTGTATATAGGTGGCGATCTAACAGCAAGTCAAAGATTCATTCTAAAAAATTAATTAATAGAACGAAACAAAAAAAATGCGTTAAAAAGTAAACAAGTAAATTAAATTTTACATTACGGTATTAGAAATGACAATCTTACTCAAATTTTTCGCAAATAGCCACTAGCAACCACTAATTTAGTAATGTCATTAAAAGTATCTCTCCAAAAAAATACAAATATTGACTATACTCAAATAAAAACTCAACTTATTCAAGATCAACTTTTCAACGAAAACAAACTGAACACTTCTTACTTTGAATTGGATAAAGCTACTATTTTCCTTAAAAGATGTGAATTATGCTTTTCTAATCAATTCTAAAACTTTGACAAAATAAAAGTCCTACTAGAGAATCTTAACTTTAACTTTAGCTTAATTTGTTTAACAGAGAGCTGGATTTTAGATACAACATTTAATCAAAATTCTAATTTTATTGCCCAACTACAAAGCCATTAGTTTTAAACGTAAGTCTTTAAAAACAGGTGGTGGTATATGTGTCTCTGTGCTTGATGAATTTACTTATAAAATTAGATATGACCTGTTGTTCTCTGAGCCGGATTTTGAATCTTTCACTTTAAAAAGTTACAATAAGTCATCTAAAAATATAACTGTAACAACTACATACCGACCACCAAACAGATGTTGAAATAACTTTAAAAATCACTTAAGTGATTATTTTGAAATAGCATGCAAAAAAAATAAAGACCACTCATTTTTATTTGTTGGAGATTATAATGCCGACTATTTATAAGATGGTGAAAATAATAAAGTAGTTAATGAGTTTGGAATGATGCCTATAATAAAGAAATCAACAAGAATAACACAAAACTCTTGTTCTGCAATGAACAATATTTTCAGAAACACACTCTTCCATTCTACATTTAAATCAGGCATCATTAGAAGTGACATAACCAACCATTTCCTAGTCTTTGCAATTTTCAAATCAAAATCAAAAGATATATTAATGAAGGACTGGTACTTCAAAAAAAGAATCTTTACAACCCGAGCAAAAAATATGTTTAAACTAAAGCTATCGACTATAAATTGGAACTTTGTTTTTCCTGAGACATGTGCTAATAACAGCTACAACCTTTTCTTAGATAAATTTTTCAATTGATACAATAAGCATTTTCCAAATAAAACATATTAAAACTAAAGGTTTTCTTAATCCTTGGTTCACTCTTCGAAGCAAAATCACTTGGTTCACTCTCAAAGCGAAAACAAAAGCTATATATATGCTTTATTAAATCAAAGAAAGATCGTGAAAAGCATAATTACTTAGAGCACAAGCGTCTATATGAAAGAACTAAAAAAATAGCCAGAACAACATATTTCAAAAACAACCTGTTAGAACTAAAAGGTAACTGGAAAAAAACGTGGGATGCTATTAAAGAGATTCTTGAAAAACAAAAAATACACAACAAAGTCTTACCAAGCGTGATTACCGTACACAGCACACAGATCTCTGATGTAAAATTGGTGGCAACAAAATTTAATGAGTTTTTCGTAAATGTTGGTCCTAACTTAGCCAGCAAAATTAAACACACTCCTGCACATTTTTTGAGCTATCTATCAAAGTCGGATAAAAGCTTAGCATTTAAGAACTCACTAGTAAAGAACTTGATGATTCAATAAAAAAATTATTAAATATAAATAAAGCAGCCTGTTGCTTTATTTATATTTAACTTTTTCATGATTCTATTTCAGCAAGCATAATCAAAGACTGCCATGAACTTATTAAAGATGTTTTATTAGATATTTTTAAAAAATCACTTAAAACAGGTGCTTTTCTAGATAAACTGAAAGTTGCAATTATTACACCCATTTTTAAATCAGGAGATGAAAGTCTGGTTACAAATTATCAACCTATATCAGTGTTACCTGTTTTTTCAAAAATCCTCGAACGTATCATGTATAATAAGATATTTGCATTTTTGCATGACAACAATCTTCTTTATTATAACCAATATGGTTTTCGATCAAATTACTCTACGGAATATGCACTTATGCAACTTGTTGAAGTTATCAGTGGAGCATCTTCTCATAACAAATTCACCTTAGGTATATTCTTCGACTTGTCAAAAGCATTTGAAACCGTTAACCATCAGATTTTATTAGAAAAACTAAAATATTATATAATAAGCAACGAAAACCATAAATGGTTTACCAGTTACTTAACTGATCGAAAGCAGTTTATTTTTCTAAATGATGGCCACAAGGCTCTATCTTAGGTTCGCTGTTGTTCTTAATCTATGTCAACTATCTATATAAAGCATCAAATACTATGTCTACTATTATGTTTGCAGAGGGCACCACTTTATTCTATTCTCGCAGTAATATTATCTCTCTATTTCAAGTAGCAAATAATGAACTAGAACAAATATCAAACTGGCTTATCGCTAACAGCCTATCTTTAAACACTGATAAAACTAAGTTTTCTCTATTCCATTCTAAACAAAAGTTTTAATATATACCAAAATCCTTACCAATGCTATATAAAAATAACATCAAAATTGAGCGCTCATTCACAAATAAATTACTTGGTATTTTAATAGATGAAAACTTATCGATATTAAACATATTAGCAATAAAATCTCAACCTACACTAACTCGACTACATTTTGCATTCATAAATAGTTATTTATTTTATGGCAATATTGTTTGGGGTAATACAAATAAATCTAAACTCGATTGTCTCCTTAAACAACAGAATCATGCAGCACGCATTACTCATTTTTAAAATGGCTTCACTTCACAAATGCTAAACCTCTTCTAAAAAGCATGAGGGCACTTGATATTTATGAACTAAATATTTTCAAAACTACACAGTTTATGTTTCAACATCAGTCAAAAAAAAACGCCGAAGGTTTTCGAAAATCTTTACCCTAAAACATTAAACCGATACAACACTTGATCTACCGGAAGATTTAAAAAACCTTTCCGTACATCAAAACTTACAAGCTTTGCTATTTCCTATCGTGGCCCAATGCTATGCAAGCATTTTACAAGCCTAAGTTGTAAACTTAAAGAAGCCAATACCTCTCAAAATTTTAAAAAGAACATCAAACTTTTTGCCAATCAAGATTCTTTACATGATTCTTTCTAACAATACAGGCCTTGTTAAGAAGCGTTTCCCTATTTGAGTTTTACGTACATATTCAACATTTCACATACTCATTTTGCAATTTACCTTACACAAAAACTTTTTTCAATTTATTTTAAACAGTCTTTTAAAACAGATTAAGCGGAAAACATTAAACTGTAGTTAATTGTTGTATTTTTATTAGAAAAAAAAACAGATAGATATCCTTTTTTCTATTTTCCGTTTTTTTTTTTTAATATTCATAGTTTATTTGATTAAATTTGAATTAATTTTATTATTATTCATAGTTTTAGTAATTTATTTGATTAAACTTAATTAAAATTCTTTTAAAAATTCAAAAAAGGCTTCGTTTTACAACTTTTTTTACTGATAAAATTTCCAAAATTTATGTTAAAGTAAAAAAAAAATTTAATAAATTTAACTCACATAACTTTATATGTTTGCAATACATATAACTTCATTTTAATTTCAGTTAAGTTTCAGGTAAGTTCCTGGTCTAAATAATGCGCTTTTGTAGTTAATAAATGACGTCCTACAAAAAAGTTTTTTCAAACTCGAGTTTAAATTTTGTTTGGGTTTTTCCCTTTGCCGTTAAGTTTTATGCAGTAGAATTTTTTTATTAAACGAACCAATCTTTAAACTGATTAAAAATAACACAATCAATAAATAAACTCTTTAAAAGCCCAACTTATATTTATTTTGTTTTAAAAACAAAACTAATACTAGTGCTTTAGATATAAGATACATAAATTTTAAAATTATACTGATATTTGTTAAAAACAAGTTCTGCTAATAACATCTTATAACTGAAAATACTATTTTTCTTTTTGGATTTAGTAAGAAATAGTAAAAATATTTTAGGTTTCACGGTACATAAAAATAAAATATTTTAATAGAAATAAAAAATAAATAAAGCAGAAAAGCGGTAATCTTTGTTTAATTACAATTTTTAATTTAATCAAAAGCCAGTTAACACAAAGGTTTTTTAAAAAGGGGAAAACCCAATTTAACTGTGTAGAAGTACACTTAAATCCCTTTAAGAAAATCAACTATAAACAAGTGTACACTCATTTTAAAAAAATAACCGTAAAAAGAATGTTTTAAAGAAAAAAAATTAAGTTTAAAATTTAAACTGTAAATAAGTATAAAATTTTAAAACAAGGAAATTATTTTTTATTCAATATTTAAATTTAATTAATAACTTTTTTTTATAACAATATTGTTTAATTTGAAGATATTTTATTAAAAAGACTTACAATGAGGTATTTTAAAATACGCAACTGACACAATTAAACTTTTAACAATGTAAATATCTCTTTTTAATAAAGTTACATTAATTCAGGTTGCGCTTGTTCGTTACGCATCAAAATCTCATAACAAGGCCTGCAATACATTTCCAATTTATATTATCAAAGGTTACTGATGATAAAATTTTATCTTTTTCAGGTTCTCCAGTCTTGTAACTATTATAAATAATGAAATGTACTTAATGTATTTAATATTTTTAAATATTTTATCGGAATTTATTTAATTGTAAATAGTTGCTTGACAATAAAAAAAATATATATATATAATATAATATATAACATTTATATAATTATACTATATAAATTAACTATAAATTATAATATTATTTTTCATCAATCAGCATTTAAAAACTGAAAGGAATGCTGAATAATTCCAATAAATGTTTCTCAGTATTACAGTAGAAAAAAATTGGTTACTTGAATAAGTTTAAATTGAAAAATATTTTTAAAAAATCTTATATAATTACTATTATGATACAAAATAATAGTAAACATATAAAATATATAAAAAGTAAATATATAAAATAAAACATATAAGAAAAAACATTTTAGGCAACTATTCCAAAAAACTTAATATAAGAGCTTATTAAAAAGCTCAATATTACAATAATTTATATAATATTTTACAATACTTATAGTAGAGCAAATTTTCTAAAATTTAATTTTTAAGTGGCAAAAATTAACGCTACCAAATGCTGAAATGTTTGAAAACCAATCACGTTTATTAGTCAACAACATTTAACAGACCAGATTGCTTGATGTTTCCTTGTTTTTACACTTGCTACTTTTCATAATACAATATTTCTATATAAAAACTGTTTAACATAAAATGCTTACAAGAAAAAATGAGGACTCCTTTTTGTACATGCCAAACATATCATATATATACATGACGCCAACATCTGATACAATAAGCAAATCTTCCTGATTAGACCAAGCCATTTTAACTATCTTTCCACCATCCCACTAATAACAAAAAACAATAATTAAATTAATAGCAAAAAAGATAAAAAAATTTCAGACAATTAAATCATTACTTCTCTTTATTGACTTTAAAGATATTATTTTACAATTATATATTTTCTTAAATATGAAATAACTTTTTATTATGATTTATTGTATTACTTATGAAACATTATGCTACTTATTTTATATAAAATAACTATTTTTTATTATGTGTAATGTATTTTTGTTATGTAATGTATTAAGTAATAAAAAAAAGCAATGCTACTTTAATAGTTGCTTTCTCAATACCAGATGCGGAGAATATATAAACAATACTTCGAGAATCTCTGCTTTTTCCAAATGTATCATCTTTTGTAATAGCTAAAATAAATATACAAATTTAGTATTCATCTTCGACATTATTTTGTTTAAATTTTATTTTTTTTTAATTTTAATTCACTTTCCCAAAGCTTTTTCGATTTTCTAATTTATCACAATTAACAAGCTAATTAATAGAAAAGTTAAAATTCAGACTAAAGATTCTAGTTTACCAACATAAAATTATAGTTTCTCTCAACGCACACACATTTTTGATGTTCCAAATAGGAAATTTTTACACATTTAGCAAGCTCCAAACTTATGTATGTTTATACCTATGCCAAATGAGGAGGCCTTGCAAAAATAAAAAAGGCGGAGGCCTGGGAGCAAAAAAGGCTCCCCAATAAAAAAAAAAACGAGGGGATGTAAATTTTGCATAGTCATAACTTTTGTAATTTACAATTTTTTTCTACAAAACTTAAAATCTGTCAATAAATTTTAATTTAGTTTTAGATGGTAAAGTTGAAATTTTACTTTTTTTGTTTTTTTTTTGGGGGGGAACAAGCATTTTAGGGCTTTTATGTTCCCAGGCCTCCTCCATGCAAATTTTATGGAAGTCCTCCTCATTTGGCATAGGTATACTTAAGTATTATATGCCAAATGTGTGAAAGTGCCCTATCTAGAACATCAAAAAATCCTGCGCGCGACCATGCACACATGCCACCTCTTATATACTGGCCCTGAGTAAGGCGTTTTTTAGGCTACTTATTTTTAAAATACCTATTTTTAGGCTTACCTATTTATAAAACAGGTTTTAGCAGTGCGGTGGCTAATAGGTCAGATGCCCCCCAAAAAAACGTGTCATTTGGGTCTCAAAATCTGCCAAATTTTACCGCTAGGTTTTGTTAAAATAAAAAGCTCCTTAAATTAGCAAAAAAGCACAAAATTTTCTGCCCCCTTCTCCCCCCCCCCCTCCTGCCTCAAATTAAGGGTTACGGGTAATCTATCCTCGGCACTGGGTTTTAGATTTTGTTTTTGATATTACTGATCTCACATAGAACTTGTTTTTTACGGACTTGCTAAAGAGAGGTGTGTGAAAATTTGCCTGCCTTAAGTATAGTTTATTTTTATTTGATTCGCCATTAGTGCAATATAACTTGACGACCGGAAATCAAACACCTGTCTCCGTCGCCTCAGTCCAAAGCATTAACCGCTCGGCCAAGCGAACACATTAAACATTTGTAATTTAACTTTATTAAAATTAATATTTGCTAATGTATTTAAAGACATTTTTTAAATTGGGATCCTGTACTGCAAATAAAGAGCTTCTGGGTCATATAAAGTATCTAAGGTACCTCCTCTACCTTTTTTTTTTCCATATTGAAAAAAAAAAGGTAGAAGAAGAAATCAGTTGGAAACTCGTCAAACCAACGTCGCGTTGGTTTGAAGAGTTTCCTACTGATTTTTGTTATATTAGGAGTTATTTAACCTTAATGTAATTGCAAAATTTAATTAAAAATAATTTTCTATTAGAGTTAAAGTTTTTCAGATTAATATTAGCTGATTTTTTTTTAGAGCTATAGGTTTTAACTTTTTTTTTTAAGTTTTTCTTTTATAAATATTTCTTTCTTTTTTACATAGTTTAGCTTGTTTATAATTTTTCTCCTGTCTGTTTTTTCTTAGCACGTTTTTAATTATCTAAAAAGCCATGGTCAAGATTTCAAAAAAAAATAATTACTTGTGTGGTCATGATTGGAGTGCAATCGCATGCCTTTCCTGTCCACAACTAATATATATATATATATATATATATATATATATATATATATATATATATATATATATATATATATATATATATATATATATATATATATATATATATATATATATATATATATATATATATATATATATATATATACGGTGGAACAAGTTCTGACCAAAATAAAACAAAACAAAAACAAAAAGACAAAGATTTTAGTCAATATTTCTTCAGAAAGTTCGGTGTATATTTAAATGCGGTTTCACTTTTACCAAAATAAACTTTATCTTTAAATTCAGGATCTCCAGAACTTGCAGTGGCTTGGTATACAATATTACTAGAAAAGCATTGGTTATTTAATTGGCAAAATTTTTTATCAATGCAGTTGCATTGTTTTGATGTTATATTTTCATCGTATTGTAAAATCTTGTTGTTATGCGCATTAATTTAAGACTTGACATAAGATATGCAACTCTAGCTAATTTTAATATAAATTTGATTTAAAACTTTACGTAGCCTGTGTCCTACTGCAAAGTGTTGGTCAAATAAAGCTAAGAAGCGATTTCCATCTTTAATTTTAACATTTTTGCTAAACAGTACCATATAATTTTACATTTGTGATTTTTATTTTTATTTTTGTTTTTTTGCGGTTGGTAGGTAAGTTTCGAATCGTATTCTGATTACATGAAGTCTCCTCATTATTTTATGGAATTGAATTATTAACAACATTTTGAGGAATGGAATTATTAAACACAGTTTCATTTACTGCCATGGTCGATGATCTTAACTCAATAGTACAAGGGATACCTTTTATTACATTAGGTGGATGATTTGAATCAGAATGAACATACATAAGTTGATTATAAGGTTTACAATATGGTTGATAGGAACTGTTAACCAGGTTTAATGTTACATCAATTTCAATATTTAATTGTATGGAGATAAGTAGGTTGTTACTTATAAAAGTATGCGTAAAATACTTTTTGATTTTTTCAATTTGTTTTCAAAAAGAGCAAACTTGTTGCACAATACAAGCCAAAAAATATAAAAAACTAGTTTGCAAACTTTAGTTTTATCGATACAAATATATATATATATATATATATATATATATATATATATATATATATATATATATATATATATATATATATAAAATATATTTATATAAAATATATATATATACACATATATATAATATATATATATGCATATATATATATATATATATATATATATACATATATATATATATATAAATATATATATATATATATATATATATATATATATATATATATATATATATATATATATATATATTATATATATATATATATATATATATATATATATATACAGTGGTGTACACTGGATTTTTAGATGTTTGAGAATTGACACTTACACTTATTTTGCAAACTCCAAACTTTTGTATGTTCATACTTATGTCAAATGAGAATGTTTTGCAAAAAGTTGTGGTGATTTAGGCTTGGGGACAAAAAAAAACCCAATTTTCGGGCCCACCCAGCCCTTAACATGGGAACAACAAGTTGACAAAATAATTTCTTTAGTATTTTTATATATATATATATATATATATATATATATATATATATATATATATATATATATATATATATATATATATATATATATATATATATATATATATATATATATTATATATATTATGTATTTTAATATATATATATATATATATATATATATATATATATATTTATATTTTTTTTTCAATAAAAACACTTTTATATATATATATATATATATATATATATATATATATATATATATATATATATATATATATATATATATATATATATATATATATATATATATATATATATATATATATATATATATATATATATATATATATATATATATATATATATATTTATACTTGAGAGTGATCAATATAATGTAAAAATAATTTTTACAAAATAGATCAATATATATATATATATATATATATATATTTATATATATATATATATATATATATATATATATATATATATATATATATATATATATATATATATATATAAAGTATATAAATTAAATAGAAAAATGCAACTTTATAATGGAACTAAAAGTTTCATGCCTATCGGCAATCTTCAGCCATATATATTATACAAATCAAGAAAAAACCCTTAAAAAATACAAAATACAAAAACAGCAGTAGAATGAGTTCCGACGTCAAAACAAAACGAATAAAAAAAGAAGCATAGTTGTAAAACTGCTAATCGTCTGTGTCAAATTGGGCAAGAAGAACTATGTTTTTATGCCGGCACTTAGATAATATTTCACTCTTTTTATTTAACAAATTTGGGTGTTTAAAAAATAAAATTTCGTACTTTTCGTTACATCGTTTTGTTAATGGGTTATAGGAATCGCACTGTTTAACTATTTTCCATCTAACAACCGGGTTTAAGTTTTCATGCTTTAATCTCCAAACCTCCTTTGATAATTCAGTGTCATTTTTGTTTTTGGGAATTTTAAAAGATTTTATGTGATTAGAATATCTAATTTTAAAAAATGTTTCGCTTATGCCAATGTAAAATTTATTGATGGGAGTTTGAACAAGATCGTTGGAACATACATTAGCTTGATATACTATATTTTTTGTTAAGCATTGGTTTGATAAAGACCAGGCGTTTTTTCAGCTGATTTTAAAAAATATTTTTCCTATATTCGTGCTAACATTTTTGCTAAAAGGGGGGTTGAACCAAATGATGTTACGTTTACAGTTCTTGGTGTGAGATAATATTAAGTTAGGTTGGTAAGAAAGATTGTAATTAAAACCGGACTTTTTTAATGCTTCATTATACATAGGAGTGGATTTTTGAAAGAATTCCTTGCTTGACAAATTTGCTGATAATCTTAATTCAATAGAATGTGAGAGTTGCTTTAAAATACTGGATGGGTGGTTTGATTCAGCATGAATGTAATTTAAAGAGTTTCCGGGTTTGGAGTAAGGTTGGTAGGTGTGGTTGTTTAGGTTAATGTAATGTCCAGATAATTTACGATTTTTATGTTGCACTGTGTTGATATCAGAAGATCGTTCAATTTAAATATTTTAACAACATGTTTTTTAATTTTTTCCATATGGGGACCACTGATGTTTTTAAAAATTGTCAAACCGTCATCACGGTATAACCCAAAATCATTCTTATTATAAAACTGCGTAATCTGAAATAAAAGAAAAATCTCAACAAGTTCACACACCTCGGCGCCATCAAAAGCTCCCATTGAAACATCGAATAATCCACTT